TTTGGCCACTGTGTGACACAGAGTGTTGGACTGGGTGGGCCACTGGCCTGATCCAACACGGGCTTCTCTCTTATGTTCTTACTGCCAGGCCCCCTGGTGGAGGCGGGAGTCCCCCGCTGCCAGGCTCCACCCCACTGCCAATCAGGGGGAGAACCAACAGCCATGCATCAGTGTATCTACATCATCGCCCATGTGATCTGGAAGTGGCGTCATCACATTCGGGATGTCGGGGCGACGGTCTGGTATTTGGGGGGAAACTTTACGGCAGAAGCCAAATCAACCATAGAGTTTTTGCCCAAATACCACAACAGCATAACGTCACTTCCGGGTCACGTGGGCAGTGACATGGATACGTCGCTGTATGGAGCTGGGCCTCCCTGCTGCCCCCCGTAAGTCCCATCTCCCGCTGGTTTCCAGGAAGGACCTAACAACCCTATTCTGGTTTGGCCCCTGCATCTGTTAAACACCCTTATTACGCCATATGCTAGTTCGCTGTTCACCTTCTTTCTGTATGTTTGGACTACTCATTTCCATTTCAACGAATCTGCAGAAGTAGGCATGCGCACGAAAGCACGTGCCTTAAATAAAACCTTTTTGGTCTTAAAGGTGCCACCGGACTCAAACTCTATTGTCAATGAAGAACATCGGAGAGGGCCCTGGAGTCCGGAAACCACTGCCAACAGCCTAAAGAACAACAAATACTGCCGGAACGACGAAAACGGATACTGTGAGCTGACGGCGAGCCGTGAACTTGTGAACGATAGCTGCTACCGTTTACGGATACAATAATCACTAGCACTTTATTATGGTTTTAGAATTGTTTTAATAATAATTTATGTTTTTAATGTAATTAACTGTAAGCCGCCCTGAGCCAGCCTCGCCTGGGAGGGCAGGGTAAAAGTTTATATAAATAAATAAATTGTAACCCATCCTGGGTCCTAAATCTATCTCAAAAGCCTGGCCCAGGACAAGGAATGAATAGTAGGCACAGCTGGGGAGAAAAGTACCTGGAAGTTAATCAAAGGAGCCTGGCTTGACTTCTCACCCATCCGAAAGTAATGTATATTTTACAACATTGGGGTCTCAGGAAAACGGCATCACACCTCATGGTAACTTCTTTTATCCCCATCTTGCTTTCTCCATTCGCCCACTTAGCATATTTACAACACCTAGAAGTTCCTCTTCACTCTTCGTATCAAGGGACATCCACAGATACTATCATATTTACAACACCTAGGAGTTCCTCTTCACTCTGCGTATCAAGGGACATCCGCAGATACTATCAGCTCTAGGAAAGCAACCCCAGCTCTGCCAAATTAGCAGGTCCAAAACTCTAAATAAATACATAGACTGCAAGAGAAACAAGCGCTAGAGGAATGGGTACATGGCAGTAAAATATACGCTTTGGCCAGAAAAACACTTTGTAACATTTGGAGCCCCAGGGACACAAAGGGCTATTAAGAAATTAGTGACGTGTGATGCAGTTCTTTCAAGGGCACCAAACTTTCTTATACACCCAGGCAACTAGCCATTTGGGATTTTTACAGATCTTGCATCCACTAAAAATCCACAGAGGACTCTTTCGATGCAATTACTATCAAATCTAAGATCCTCTTTACACATAGGGTTGTATGCACTGTAATTGAGCAGAATGGGGTGAAATTTGGGTGAAATCTAAGGGACAGGACCCTCTCTCACCATTAGGACTAATTCACACTTTACAAAATTCTTACACAGAAGGCTCAAAATCCATGTAGCCATGGAAGTAAGGGGTCAGTCAATAGCATAAATTCTGAGCTACTGAATTGCTGTTTAAATCTTAGCTCAGACATAAATCCTTCTTGGGTACCATTGGATAAAACCACTCTCTCTCTCTCTCAGCATCAGTCCCCTTGCTGTTTTATTGTAAGCGTACTGAGATAGCATAACGCCTTAAGCACATGTTATGTATGTATGTCCCGTCAAGTTCCAACCGACGTATGTTGATCCCAGAAAGGGGCTTTCAAGGCAAGGGAGAAACAGAGGTCGTTTGCCATTGCCTTCCTCTGCAGAGCCTTCCTTGGTGGTCTCCCATCCAATACTAACCCTGCAAGTGATGCTCTGTCTTCTTGGTGCTTGGGGGGGGGGGTCAACAGTGGGAGGGCTTCTAATGTCCTGGCCCCACTGGTGGACCTCCTGATGGTACCTGGTATTTCTGGTCACTGTGCAACACAGAGTGTTGGACTGGATGGGCCTTTGGCCTGATCCAACATTGGCGTCTCTTATGTTCTTAACTTATGGCAACCGTAGCAAGGGGCTTTCAAGGCAAGGGAGAAACAGAGGTCGTTTGCCACTGCCTTCCTCTGCAGAGTCTTCCTTGGTAGTCTTCTATCCAAGGACCAACTATGCTTAGCTTAGACTTACGGTGATCCCAGCAAGGGGCTTTGAAGGCAAGGGAGAAGCAGAGGTGGTTGGCCGTTGCCTTCCTCTGCAGAGCCTTCCTTGGTGGTCTCCCATCCAATACGAACCCTGCATAGTTTCCAACTTATGGCAACCGTAGCAAGGGGCTTTCAAGGCAAGGGAGAAACAGAGGTGGTTGGCCATTGCCTTCCTCTGCAGAGTCTTCCTTGGTGGTCTCCCATCCAAATACCAACACTGCTTAGCTTAGACTTATGGTGATCCCAGCAAGGGGCTTCCAAGGCAAGAGAGAAGCAGAGGTGGTTGGCCATTGCCTTCCTCTGCAGAGCCTTCCTTGGTGATCTCCCATCCAAGTACTGACCCTGCAGTGTTTCCAACTTATGGCAACCGTAGCAAGGGGCTTTCAAGGCAAGGGAGAAACAGAGGTCGTTCACCACTGCCTTTCTCTGCAGAGTCTTCCTTGGTGGACTCCCTTCCAAGTACTGACCCTGCTTAGCTTAGACTTATGGTGATCCCAGCAAGGGGCTTTGAAGGCAAGGGATAAGGGGTGGTTTGCCATTGCCTTCCACTGCAGAGTCTTCCTTGGTGGTCTCCCTTTCAAGTACTCATGCTGCCGAGCTCCTGAGACCTGTGGAGATCGGGCTATACCATACCGTTCCCCATCCCCAAGTACACGTTACAACCTATGTAACACTTTGTATCATATTTTTCTAAGTACCATACATACATGAAGTAACGGGTTGGATCCCACAGACGCGTTCTACTAACAGCGGTACTCTCCCCAGATTTAAGCCGCCATCCCCCTGGCAAATCAGCTTCTCGCGCAGAGGGAAAGCTCTACCATCAGCTGAACAGGTCTGCAGGATCCAATCATTTACGTGGCTTGCCACATGTGAAAACTGCGCGTGCAAGTCTCATGCCTCATGCCCAGAAAGCGGTCTCCCACCGCATGTGCACCACACGCCACACTGCAATTCAAACAGAGATGAGTCGCGAACCCACACGAAGATCGTAGCGTGACACTTATTCATGAAGGGGGAAGGCCACACAGCCAAACACGTTATCACCCAACACACCGTCCTCTCTGAAAGCTCCCACACGGGCACGCCGTTGGTATAAACGTGTCGGAAAGGAGCGAAGCCACCCTGAGTGTGAATTTGTGTGGAAGGGGTCGGCGTTTCTCCTCTCGCTCACGTTTCTGGCTTCGGCAATCTCCAAGAGCCATTGCAAATACAAAGCCTGATCTGATACAGAACGCAAGAGTCAGGTCAAGCCACGGCGGGGCCTCTCTCAGTTCGGACAACAGGAGAAAAACTGGGCAGGCAAAACACTACAGAGGGCCCGATCTGGCCCCACTGATGGCGCCAGGCATTTTTGGCCACCGTGGGACACAGAGTGTTGGACTGGATGGGCCACTGGCCTGATCCCACATTGGCTCTTCTTATTCTTCTTCTTTTCTTACGATATTCGTATTTTCTTACGATATTCTTCTTTTTTATGACCCCCTCCAAAAAAACCATCATCCCAGCCACATCGACGAGCATCATGCGCCTCATCTCCTCCTCAGACACTGTATCTCCCCCCACATCTGCTTTCGCCCCCTCGAAGCAGCCTGTCACCTCACAGAAAGCCCCCCCAAAACAGGCCACAAAATATAATCCCCCCCACATTAAAAAAACCCAACACCTCAGATTTCCATCCTGGAGGAAGAAAAAATAATCCCTTTGCCCAACATGGCCGCCCACCCCGGAGTTAAAAAGCTGATAGTTTTAGGGGGGAACGTTGCCATGATATATATATATCTGTGTCGAGAGGGGGGGGGGATATCATAGTTAAATATTATTTCTGTGTCTCGTGGGGGGGGGCCGATCTTTCTTAAAACACTCAGGAACCTCCGCC